AAGTTAATCTACTAAAGGGGTGATATATCTAGTAGAATTATAAGTTAGAAAGGTATAGAATAAGTAAGAACGGAGTTAGATATATTAAAAGACTATAGGTAGAAAATAATATACGATATTAAGATCTAATTATTCTAAATAATATATAAGAGTAGATACGATAACTTATAGCGTCTCTAGACTAGGTACGGAACGATAAGCGATACGACTTAGGGCTAGTTACGAAAGCTCGACTATCGCTATACTTAAAGCGCTACTAGTAAAGAGAGTAACCGTAGTGAATAGGAAAGAATCTCTATATATCGGATAGACCTCTTCCCGGCGGCTAAACAGCTAGATTGACTATAAGATACTTTATCTGATAAATTATAATAGCTAATATAACGGCTATAGCGGGGATAGTATAGGATAGGTCTATCCGGATCTATCTAAACCTAGTCATACCTACTATAGGAAGACTAGAATATGATTAGCCGACCGCTATACTATATAAGGTACGGGATTAGCGCGCGAACTTAATTAGCTCCTATAATAGATAGAGACTTAGTAGAGGGAGGCTTAGCGGACGTATACGCTATATAAATAAGCGCCGGTACGCTTCTTTCTTTCTCTCTTTCCTTTTTCCCTTTAGATTAGTCTCTCGTATATTAGGAATATATATCTTTAGAGCTTTCTCTATCTACTATATATCTTATCGTTATATAAATTCTATATACGGACTCCGATTAACGCACTAGCTATATTACGATAATAATAGTAGCCTAAATAACGATATAAGATCTAGTCGGGGTACTACGGGCGCTAGAAAATAAGGAATAATAAAGAATAGATAGTCTCGGTATAGCTAGTACTCGGTTCTCGATAGAGCTAGACTTAAAACTTAATCTACTACTATTCCTTATTATATTACTTATTATATTTCAACTCTAGTGCCCTCTAATATATAAAGGGAAACCTTATATAGAGTTATAGCTATACTAGCTACTACCGCTACTATAGCCCTATATACTAACTTACCTTATCTAAGAATATTCTATATATTTATTAATAAGTATAGTATATAATAGAATACTAGATCCCGTAGCTTTAGTTTAGTTAAGGATACGCGCTACGCGTAACTATACGCGTAAGAGATATATAAGGGGACGTAACTCTATCGGATTTCTAACTCGCGCGATACTACTACTCTAGGTATAAATTTAATAGATATTAGGGGATAATAGGGACGGGATATGATATATCTAAGTTTTAGAGTATTTTTAGCGGTAGAGGAGGCGGAAATCGGGAGTTAAAAGATACTCTAAATTAGTTCTCGGACCGTTTAAAATCGAAAGCGCGCTCGATTAAAAGAAGAGTATTATATATAGGAAGGATTAGATTACGTACTTATATATTATATAGAGAGATAATAGTAGTTCCTAATTAGACGGATAAAGTAGACGGTCTTTTCTTTTCTTTCGATAGTATTTAACGTAGATAGTAGCGGAGATATAGTAGAAATTATCAAGTATTCTATCTATCTTATTTTAATAGTATTATAATGCGTTATACGTATTCCTACCGCCGTAGAGAGAGATATTATCTTTAATTATAAAGTCTCGCTCTAGTTTAGTATATTATTCTAAGTCTCGTAACTCTATATAACTCTCCTTACGTAATCTAGCGCGTTAAAAGGTGAACTAAGGACGTAACCCTATCGAATTTCTAACTCTACTATTATTAATCCTATAAGTATAAATAATATAGATATCGAGAGAGAGCGAGAAGAGGATACGATCGATATATATTTTAAAGTGTTTATAGTAATAGATAAACTATAGATCGGGGTTTAGAGACTCTCTAAATTAGTTCTTCGACCGATTATAATCAATAGTGCACTTAATAGTAAGAGATAGATTATTTTAGATCTTATAACTACGTATT